GACTTTGTGCCTCTTTAGAAGAGGACCTTCTCGGGACTTTGTGCCTCTTTGGAAGAGGACTTTCTCGGGACTTTGTGCCTCTTTAGAAGAGGACCTTATCGGGACTTTTTGCCTCTTTAGAAGAGGACCTTCTCGGGACTTTGTGCCTCTTTGGAAGAGGACCTTATCGGGACTTTTTGCCTCTTTAGAAGAGGACCTTCTCGGGACTTTGTGCCTCTTTGGAAGAGGACTTTCTCGGGACTTTGTGCCTCTTTCGAAGAGGACTTTCTTGGGACTTTGTGCCTCTTTGGAAGAGGACTTGGTGCCTTGGGGAAGAGGACTTTTCTCACAGCTCGGGTATTTGTTGCCTCTGGGAAGAGGGCTTTTCTTGGAGCTCTTTTTTCAATATTCTTTGGGAGCCTCTAAACCCCCACCTGATATCTATCTCATGGTGGTTGGGCGCTCTGCTCTTATTGAATAATAGACAATCCCGTCCACCTTTCTCTTTCTCTAACTCTTCTCTCTTGGTACGAGAGTCTATAACTATCTCCAGTAACCCGATCACCTAACTTGACCTAATTACTGACCTCTGCTTTCTATCTCCAGTAATCCAATCACCTAACTTGATCTAATTACTGACCTCTGCTTTCTTTTCTCCAGTAATCTGATCACCTAACTTGATCTAATTACTGACATCTGCTTTCTATTTTCCAGTAATCCGATCACCTAACTTGATCTAATTACTGACCTCTGCTTTCTATTCTTTTACAGTATTACTTTTAATAACTTATACAACTCGGAATGGACCACTCGAGGCTTGATTCATCCATTCGAGGGACCCATGAAGCTGGAGCGGTCCACTTGAGGTTAGATTCGTCCATTTGAGGGAACCACGAAGTTAGAACGGTTCACTTGAGGCTAGATCCGTCCATTTGAGGGACCTATGAAGCTGGAGCAGTCCACTTGAGGATAAATCCATCCATTTGAGGGGCCCATGAAGCTGGAGCGGTCCACTTGAGTCTAGATCTGTCCACTTGAAGAACCCATGAAGTTGGAGCGGTCCACTTGAGGCTAAATCCGTCTATTTGAGGGACCTATGAAGATAGAGTGGTCCACTTGAGGCTAAATCCATCCATTTAAGGGACCCATGAAGCTAGAGTGGTCCACTTGAGTCTAGATCTCTCCACTTGAGGGACCTATGAAGCTGGAACGGTCCACTTGATGGATCGTAGAAGTTGTAATGGTCCACTTAAAGCCAGATCCGTCCCAGGCTCGCTGAAGAGGACCGCAAGAAAGGACTGCCGGAGAGGACCGCTGCAGCAGTGGCTTGTTTGGGAGACTTGCTCGATCTGGTGGTGGATCGACGGAAGGAGTTGCTCGGAAATGAGGACTGCCAGAAAGGAGGACCGCCCGAAATGAGGACCGCTAAAAGGAGGCTCGTCATTTCCGTCCACGGCATGCCACTGCCGTCCGAGGCTCGCCACTGCCGCTTGTGGCTCGCCAGGGAAGTGGGAGCTCGCTGTCGGACCAATGCTAAAGTGGCTGTGGTTTGCTGCTGGATCCCGTCGGAGGTGAAGCACGCTAGAGGGCTCGCCGATCTGGGAGGATGCTCACCGACCCTGGTGGAGGGTACTGCAGCAGCCCTACCGCGTGCTCGCTGCTCGCCGGAAAGATCCCCGTCGTCCGTGGCTCGCTGGTGGTCTGGACTCTAGCTCGCCGTTCGTCGAGAAGATCCCGTTGTTCTTCATGGTTTGCCGGAGGAAGGAGGAGGCTCGTTGGACCTGGTTGTGGTCCGACGGAAAGAGTGGCTCGCCGGAGAGGACCGGGAGCGGCTCGCTAGAGTGCTGGATCGGCTTGCCTCAAGGAAGAGAGGCTCGCCGGTGCTCGTGCTCGCCAAATGCCTGTCTTTGCTCGTCGCCGAATCTGTGAAGAAGACCACTCCTCCCTTTTCCTATTCTTTTCTCCTTCTCTGACTTTTCAACCTTTTTTTCTTCTTGATTCTCACTTCGTATCCCTCCTCCTTTTTTTGTTTTGTTTTTTACTTTCTCAACCCACTCTTTTTTCTCCATTACGGACTCGAAACACAAAAGCTTTTTGTGACGAGTCCCACGGTCGGTGCCAGTGATGGAAACAGTTTTTTCGCGGCGTCGACCCGACGAAATCAAGACCGGGTCGGCACCGCACCGAATAGAAAAATCCGGAAATTAAATAAATAAATAAAGCGGAGAGAAAATATTTATACGTGGAAACCCAAATCGGGAGAAAACCACGGGCCTTTTTAGGCGGTGCCATAACAAAGGGGAGGAAGTTTTATTAATCTCGGGGGAACTTACATATACATTTTTGTAGGAGCTTGGAGCCATTAATGGAGCTCCAAACTAAAAGAAGAAGAAGAATGCAGAATAATAGTGAAACTTGTAGGAATTTGCATTGGCCTCTCTTTTCTGTCTCCCTCCTTCTTGTGTAAATGTCCATTATAAAGGGGAGTACATGCATGCATCCCAACAATGCCATGAGGTGGCCATGTCACCTCCATGTGCATATGTTTAGTATATGGGCCCAACGGAATATTTTCACATCATTTCAAATATATTTTTCTGTCCATATATCTCTGGTTCCGTCTTGAATAATTTATCTGATTTATATCTTGGGCCAGATAAAATTAGGCTTTCTTGTACTGTTCAAATGATATTGGATTAGGAAAAATCCTCAATCCATCATATATCAATTTATTTTCTCTACAAGTTTTGATGTGGGACACTCTTTAACGGAATATTGTAATGGTTAATTAATTAGAAATGGAGGGTGTATTCATCATTAATTTATGAATCTAATCATAGTCTAAAACTAGAGTAAATGGAACAATGTGTGCAAATCTTTATCAAATTAAACTTTCTCTAAATACCAAACTTTGTGAGATGTGGAAGTTGTTGGTTCTAAGGTGTTTGTCAATCTTTTGGAAAAATAGAAACTCATATTTGAGAGTTTTATTAGGTAGAAATATTTATTTCATTGGAGAAATTTATTTTATTTCGACTTCTAGAGTTGCTCCAGTTTCCAAAGGTAACACAGAAGATGCTCGAGCACAGTGCTAAAACACACTGTACGGAATCAGAAGTCTGTGTACGTAAAATTAAGCCGCAATATGCAATTTTTTAAATTAGAGATCTATTGTGACAGTGACTACAGATGGGGATTTAATTATAGAAATCCAGCTACTGTTTAGGAGGCTTTAGGTGTTACTTGTGTTTGCTCGTATCAAGCTACTATCCAGCTACAAGTTTTCGATACCTTATGTTTGCTCGTATGCTTTAATTGATTATTTTTTAAAATAAAATATTCTTATGATCTCTTATTTTTCAAAACTTCTATTGTACTTTTTAAATATGTAATTCGTACATTTTGTTTTTATACCAAGTCTTAAATAAAATGTTTTTTAAAAACACAATGTTGGACATAGCAACTAAACAATGTAAATAAATTTGAGAAGGAAATAGAAGTAATACTAGTTTTGCCATGGTTGCCACATGTGCTGGCATGACAAGGCATTCCACTCCTCAAATCATGTCATAGGCGTGTCAAAAGCTTAAGTTTATTTTTTATTTTTTGTTTTCTTTTTAATTTCTTTTATCAGAAATTATTTGTTTTCTAATTATATTTTTATTTTTTAATTTTTTATGATAAGTAAAATTATTTTTAATAATTAAAATATATCAAAAAAAATTAAAAGTAACAAAAGTAATGACTTGCCACTGCAGAGTTTGCCACTCATTCATTTGCCACGCGGTGACTAGATTCCTTTTCGTTGGTTGTAAAATTTCATGTCACCGTGTGACATTTCATTTTTGCCTCACAATTGTTTATGCTAAGTCCTGTAAACCGGCAATAAATATGGTGTACTCGTCCGATCCTAACAATTTCCGTCTTTTGGGTAACTCTGCCCATCCTCATAATTAGAATTGACAAAACACATTCAATGTGCCCCGTAATGAATTAAATTATTTGTATTTCAGAATTTGTACACTATGGCCCCGTTTGGTACATGAAATTCAAATTATGAAATTGAAATTGGGGACTTCAATTCCAATTCTAGTGTTTGGTAACACAAAAATTGTGTAGATTTAAAATTGATATTGCAAAAAATGAATTGGAATTGACAGAATTCAATTCCATGGAATTGAATCCCATGAAATTAAAATTCCAATTCAATTCCAATTCCACCAATTTCTTATACCAAACGGACACTATGGCCCCGTTTGGTATACAGAATTCAAACTATGGAATTGGAATTGAGGACTTCAATTCCAATTCTCGTGTTTGGTAGCACAAAAATTATGTTGATTTGGAATTGGTAGTGCAAAAAATGATTTGGAATTGGTGAATTCAATTCTATGGAATTAAATCCCATGGAATTTTAATTCCAATTCAATTCCAATTTCATCAATTCCGTGTACCAAACGGACCCTATATGTATATATTGTTATTTTGTGTCAGTGTAATTTTATGGCCACAGTTCATACAAGTACAAAATGTTAGTGTAACTTTTTAATCACATAAATACTTTGTGTTAGTGTAAATCATCAAAATATTAATGTATATTGTTTATATAACTTTAAATATATTTTTGGAAAAATTACCCAAAATAATCCCAACTTTATCCGGTCTTTAAAAAATAATCTCACCTTTCACTGTGATGCATAATAATCCCAACTTTACTGAAATTTGCCAGTTTTGGGTTGTCGTTAAGTTTCTAACGGAGGGTTAACAGAAATGCATGTTTTAGGCAACAAAATGAAAGTTGGGATTATTTTTGATGAATTTTCATTTTTTTATTTTTTTAAATTTTTCATTTAAATTTTTTAAATTACTTTCTACCTCCATCATCATTTCTTTTTTCTTTTTTAAAGATTAGCCTTAGTTTAAAAAATAAAAATAATAGATATAAAAAATGAAAAAATGAGAAATGTAACTAAAATGGTACAAAAATAATAAAATAAATAAGGTAATCAATGGAAACTAACTTGAAATTGGTAAAAGTAAAATAAAAATATACGGGTGGGTTTTAATATTTTACGCATTATACAAAGTATTAACATATCACTTCTTATTTTTTAGAAAAAATTATCTACAATAATTCCAACTTTACTGGACGGCTTGTGCTTTTAAAAAATAAGTAGTACATTAAGACTCCGTATAGTGTGTAAAATGTTAAAACCCACCACTCCGTATATATTTATTTTATATCTTACCAGTTTCTGTTTAATTTCTATTGATTACATTATTTATTTGATTAATTTTGTATGGTTTTAGTTATTTTTCTCATTTTCATTATTTTTTATATCTATTTTTTTCAAAGGTAAGAATAATCTTTAAAAAAAGAAAAAGAAATGGAGGTTGAAAGTAATTCAAAAAATTTAAATAAAAATTTCAGAAAAATTAGAAAACAAAAATTCATCAAAAATCATCCCAACTTTCATTTTGTTGCCTAAAATGGGCATTTCCGTTAACCCTCCGTTAGAAATTTAACGGCGACCCAAAATTGGCAAATTTCAGTAAAGTTGGGATTATTATGCATCACAGTGAAAGATGGGATTATTTTTGAAAGACCGGGTAAAGTTGGGATTATTTTGGGTAATTTTTCCTATATTTTTTTGTGTGTAAGTGTAGTATAGTTGAATTGACTCCCATCTTTGATCAAATATAAAAAGGACAACAACTTGTTCAAATTCCTGATATTTTGGATTTCACTAACTTTGGGCTCGAATTGAAAACGTTTATTTTAGAATATTTAAATAAATAAACTCTACCAGTAGCTCTTTTTTTATACATTTAAAAAACAACTAGAACACCAAAATTAACTCTCAGGTTATTAATGTGTCACAGTATATTCGTCTAGTTCCTTCTATTGTAAATTTGTCTTGGTGTATTGATTAATTTTAGGGAAAATTCCTCAGATAGAAATAAAAAAATGCAGCAGGGTTTGGAGAATCAAGACAACTTCTACTAACATATTCCTACTAGGATTGGGTTTGGAGATATCTATAAAACGCAGCAGATCCCTGGATAATTCCTTGAACTGATTGTGAGGTAAAAACACAGAATATATATACGATGATGTAGAGCATTCCCATCACGTCTCAGAGCTTGCCTTGCGTGAAGAAAGTTACGATCTACATGAAGAAGGAGATCTTCAATGCCAAAGAGATCGTAACATCTAGAAGATGAACCTGATGAGCTTACGGAGAGGGCTGCCAACATGTTTTTCCTTGTGATCTTGGTGGGAGATGTGATATCCGAAGCGGATCTGTACAGGGTACGGATTAGAAATCCTATATTAGAACTTTTGTCATAACAATTTGAAGAAGTGTGTCTCATCAGGTTATTATGTACCAGTGTAACTTGTATCTAGTGATTTAGTGGAGGGCTATTACACGGATATGGCCCCCGGAGAGTAGGAGAGTTCTTTAAGCTGTGTGAACATTTTTGGTGTCGTTCTTTTTGCTTTTTAAATTTACAACATTTTGCCCAGAAGGCATTGTAACACCCCCTGCACCATCTGCTTTTGTGTGTGCTTGCATCGGAGAAGGTGTTATAACACAATATCTGTCATCAGTTATTGTGACACCCTCTGCACCAACACACTATTTGATCGATTTGTTTGCATAGCTTTTATTTGGTGATTTTCTTTATCCCTGAGAAATTTTCAAAAATCTATTTTGAGAATTTTCTTACTTGAAAACGGTTTTGGAAAATGTTGTTTAAAAACTCATTGTTTTCTATTTAACATTTTTCTAATACTTTTCTAATATTTGTGAAATCAAGTAAATGCTTACTATGTCCTAAAAATCATGTCTTAGTTATTATTAAGGTCTTCAGATAATTTTTATTTATATGTGTGTTTTAATTGGATATTTGATACGAGTAATATAATTTTTTTTCATATCTAAATTTATACCGAGTAGAACTTTTATGATAAAATGAGATTTTACATGTTATTCAAAATAAGTTACTTGTATAATTTTTGAAAGGGAGGAAATAGATTGATTTGGGAAGGAGTGAATATATTGAGTAAAAGTCTTTGTCTGGCAAGACAAATGAGTTACGGGTTAGGAGTTTTTGGGCAAATTTGATCCATTTCTGTGAAGCTCCCAATTCCCAAGGGTTATCTATTTATAAATACATCCCTCTATTAAAAATTCCTCATTTTTTCTCATTACGGTTCCAACATAATTTGTACAGTATTTACTTTTTTTTGTTGAAAAAGAATGGGTGATCTATATCATCTCTTCTAAATAATTTTCTTACCTTTTTTCTCATTTAAAAAAGAATGTCTGATGCAAATAATTTGTATTTACGGACTTTAACTACGCAATACTTTTAAACATTTTTTTAAAAATAATTATTGAAAAAGCCAAAGTGAGTAAGATAATGCTTGACAACTAGCATTTCATTTCAATTCATGCATTTCAATTCCAATATTTGAAATCTTGAATTTCAAATGACAAGGAAAAGTACATGAATTTCAAATTAAGTTTTGTTATGAATGAAAAGAATTTGACTCAAATCTAAATTCAAAACTTTTAAGATTTCCAAACATGGAATTTGAGCCAAATCTGGATTTAAAATCTAAATCCATGTTTCCCAAACATACCATAAAAGAGTTTGAGATAGAGAGGAGTATATACTGAGTAAGTTTGTGCTTGGCAAGGGAAATGATTGAAATATCTTAGGACATGTTCTCTTCACATGAATGTCGTTATATTTAAAACTGTTTATGATCTGATCTGATTTGGTCTGACTTGATTTTAGTAAAAATGTCACAATTCACCATTCAAAAATCACATGAACTATTGTTTATTTATACGTTTTCATCGTTTATTTGATAAAGTAAAATATTTTTCCCAACTCTTTTTGAAGTAACTTTTAAATACGTAAATTTTATTTTATATTTCTATTCCGATCTTTAAATAAAATAAATTGAAAAAACTTAAAATTTTACATTGTTTTGTGTAATGTAATAATCTTTTTTAGACAAAGGGAGTATAATTTTAAGTCCCAAAACAATACTCCCTCCGTTCTTAAAAAGAGTTCCAATTTTGACAAAGTGTAAAAATAAGGGAGTGTTTAATTGTAATTGACTTCCAATTTTACCCTTGATGTGATAGGTAAAAGTAACATTTCATGAATATGTTATTAGAGAAAAAGTATGATGCGATGTGTAGGGTATGAAAAAGTAAGGGTAAAAGTGGTTTTTTAATAAAAAGTGGAAGTATTTTGTTGGAAGTGAAAAAATGAAAGAGGAGGTGTTTTTAAGAACGGAGGGAGTATTATTCAGTCTTTTTCTTTTATACATGAAGTTAGAAAACTCTCCTATAGCCTGCAAGGTTAGTTTAGTTGGTTCCGAAAGGGGTAGATTTGTAATACAGTGCAAGTTCAATTCTTCGCAACGTGCAATGTGAAAGTGATATTACGAGACCAGCATGGTCAACAAGTGTCAGTTAGTAATCTTTAATTATTAGAAATATCGACCCTAAAAATATACTACTCCCTCCATTTATTAAAGCAATTTCTATTTTGATTTCTGTCAAATTTATTTTCGTAATTTGACTTTCCAATTATGTCTTAAACATTGAAGAAGAAAGAGAGAAAACTTATTTAAATAATGTATAATATCAATTCAAAATGAATGAAGTATATTGCAACAACTTAAATTGAATATATTAGTAATTTGTTGTCAAAGTGAAAGTGTTTTGTTGCAAACAAAAAACCAAAAGAAGAACTGTTTCGGAAAACGGAGGGAGTAACATTATCACACTGACACAAAATGTAAGTGCACACTTATAATGTACAATTTAGAGTACAACTTTTGGTGTACAAACTTATCTTTTTTTATATTAATGGGCAGACCGGCAATGAGCATATATCAAAACTAGTAAAACCATAATCAATTTGTCAAAAAAAAATTGAGAAATAAGATCACAATATAGAGAAATAAAATGACGTGACATTATTACTCCTTCCGTCCTGAGATAACATTCATGTTCGACTTACGATGTTTGCTTAAAGTTATTTTTAAATCAGTATAAGTAAAATTTAGTATAGAATTAAAAAAAATTAAAATTACTCCCTCCGTCACAATTTAAATTTCCTATTTACTATTCACAAGGTCAAACTTCATCACTTTTTCCTATATTTTCGTTAGTCATTTGATAAAATAGTAGTCATGTCACCACTAGTTTTATATATCTTTTTATCTAGTTTATAAATATGTAATTTTTATTTTTTAATTCTACATCATTTTTCATATAAAATGATTTGAAAATAATTTCAGACAAATATCCTAAACCGAAACTAGCAATATAAATTGGGATGGAGGGAGTATATATTAAAAAACAACATCCACAGTTCTGCAAAGCAAGTTATGACAAGGTTATTTTATTTTATTTTGTTTTATTAAATGATCGATTAAAATGTATAAAGAAAGTAAAATTAGTTTGACCTATGAATAGTAAGTATGAAAGAATAATATTCTCGGAGAAAATAATTCTCTTTGTTAGACAGTAATAGTAATTGTATCATTTATGGTAGTCTTAAATATGGTAGGATTCATATATTAGTCAGCTTACATAATAGGTTGAGTCATAATTCTGTCAGGGTTTTCTCCTATATATCATTCATGTATTCTCTCTTTTCACTTGAGAAAAAACCATAATTCAATATTCAACATGGTCTCAGAGCCTGATCTCCTTCTTCTCCCTTCACGTTAAACACCGAAGGAAAAAAAAATCCCGGCCGCTAGGGTTTCTGATGGCGCCCGCCTTTGCTGATCCTATGGATCGATTACCTACAGGCCTCAAGTTGTTCGTCTGGAATCTTCAATCTCTCACACCGGTAAAGCTTAACAATTCCAATTATCCTTCTTGGTCTGCTACTATACGTGCCAATCTCATGGCACATCATCTTCTAGGTTTTGTTAATGGTTCAGAACCCGCACCTCCTTCGCTGCTCCTGGACAAGAAAGTCGCGGCCCCGGCAAAAGACGAACCCCCTAGTATGAAACCTAATCAAGCATATGAGACTTGGATGATTGTCGATGCACAAACCCGGGCATGTCTTTTGGCTATTGTTTCACCCACTTTTCAAACACATATCCATACTTTGCCTTTGGCAGCAGCGATCTGGGAGCATCTTGACCAACGGTATACATATTTTCTAACTGAAAAAAAGCTTCATAGTCTCTAAAAAGGCAATGAGTAGGGATGGCAACGGGTCGGGTTCGGGTCGGATAGTACTATACCCGAACCCGACCCGACTTTAAAAACCGAAACCCGAACCCGACCCGAAACCCGACTTTTTAAGCTAAAACCCGAACCCGACCCGAACCCGATATTCCAACCAGAAACCCGAACCCGACCCGAACCCGACTTTTAACTAATAATCAATTCGGCGTACCCCAATAATTTTAAAAAGATTACATCTAATTTTTTTATGTCTCATTTTTTTTATTAAGAAATTATAAAAATGATTATAAAAGGTATACTTGATATAGTAGCACTTTGTCAAGAGATTATACGGAGTGCTCATTATATCCATAGGCTTTTATGTTATAAAATATTCGGGTTTGAGTCGGGTCGGGTCGGGTAAAATAATAAACCCACACCCGACCCGACTCGATGTCGGGTTCGGGTAAAAAAATTTGGGTCGGGTTTGGATTATTTTATTTTCGGTTCGGGTTCGGATATTTTAGTGGTCGGTCGGGTCGGATAAGCTCGGGTTCGGGTTGAATTGCCATCCCTAGCAATGAGTCCATGCAAGCGTATCTTGATGGTGTTCTTAATATCGTGGCATCTCTCAAACTTGCACATGAGCATATCTGTGAACAAAACATTATTTTATGCATTTGCGTGGTCTTCTTGTGGATTATGCACTACTTAAACAAAATATACACACAAATACAGGATATGTGATTCTCAATCAAGTCTTTGTGTGGTTGCTCTCTGAAGAATTGAATATTACTCTTGAGAAAAAATTGCAGCTTGGAGATTCGGCTCTCTCTTCCTCTTCGGATGCTAATAATGCCATTTTCAGAAATTCTAGACAAGGAAACTCTCGTGGTTGTGGTCGAGGGGGCTACCGAAGCAGGGGTGTGCCTCCCCATGGTGGAGCGTACGACGACAGAGGAGGCTGCACGGCCCAGCCGCAACAATACCGCGATGCCGGCATACACGATGGGTTTCGAGACCGCCCCATTACATGTCAGCTTTGTGGTAACCCAGGACATGCGGTGTGGAATTGTTGGCACGGCTTTGATGAATCATACTCCAATCCACCACAAGCTTAATACACTACACAATCCCCTAGATATGACTTGAAATTGCTCACCATCTCTGAATTATCTCCAGCAATAATTAAATCATCAACATAAACCAAAACATGTATGACTCCTTTCTTTCTAACGAAAGAGAATAAGGAGTAATCAGGAACAGACTGGACAAACCCATAGCGCCTCAAAGCTCCAGACAACTTGGAAAACCAACACCTTGGACCTTGTTTCAAACCATACAAAGATTTCTTCAATTTGCATACTACATTAGAAGAATTTGAAAAACCTAGTGGCAGTCGCATGTACACTTCATCCTCAAGATCTGCATGAAGGAAAACATTGTGCACATCCATCTGATGCAACTCCCAACCCTTCGCAGCTGCAACAGCTAGAAGAGTTCGTACTGTAGTTAACTTGACCACATGAGCAAATGTTTCCTTGTAGTCAAGTCCCTCAACCTGATGATTGCCCAGTATAACCAATCTAGCCTTATATCTCTCCACACTGCCATCAGACTTGCGCTTGATTTTATACACCCACTTGCAGCCAAGGGGCTTTTTGTGACGTGGAGGAGCAACCAGCGACCACATTCCATTAGCTTCCAGTGCATCAATATCCTCCCACATAGCTTTCCGCCATCGCTCATCCCGAAATGCCTTTTTGAAGTTCGTGGGCTCCACTTCCTCATCAAGAGCTGTGAGAAAACACTTGTGTTTATCAGAAAACTTCTCATACGTGACATATGAGGAGAGTGGATACCTGCATCTTTCTCTGCTATATGGTCCAGTGACATGTGTAACATAGTCCGCAAGTCTCACATTTTGGCATCTTTCCTGCTGACTACACTTCAAAGTCTCCACTCCTTGCTGGGAAGAGGACGGTCGACCGCCATCCGTGGAACGGTCCACGGGGTCGACCATCTATAGCGTCACTGGTTCAGTAGTTTTTTGCCTCGGGGACGGTCGACCGCCATCCGTGGAACGGTCCACGGGGTCGACCATCTGTAGATGCGCTGGTTCATCAGGTTTCTGCCTTGGGAACGGTCGACCATCCTCTATGCTGCGGTCGACCGTTGATTCATCTCTAGAAGACTTGTCATTCTGTCTTGCCGACGGTCGACCGTGGTCTTCGGCACGGTCCATGGGGTCGACCGTCTAAAGCTCTTCTACCTCCATATTTCCCGGCGGTCGACCGTTCCTCTGGGAATGGTCTAGATGGTCCTCCGTGGATAGATCCTTAACATCTTCAAAATAATCGTTGGTTGGATTGCTGCTCAATGCATCTTCTTTGGGTGTTTCACCTGTGGAAAATAATAAAGGAAAAATGTCTTCACAGAACACAACATCACGGGACATGCTGATCTTTCTGGTGTCCAGAAAATAGATGCTCCATCCCTTCTTCCCTTGTGGATAACCCAAAAATATTCCAGGAATACTTCTGGGTGCAAATTTGTCTCCATCCCTCTTCAGATTGTGGACATAACATCTGCAACCAAAAACACGAATGTGAGTCAGCGGCGGTGACCTCCCATAAAGCCTCTCATACGGCGTCACCCCCCTAGCAATGACGAGGGTGTCCGATTGATCAAATAGGCTGCAGTCTGTATACAATCTCCCCATAATTCAATCGGAAGACCGGCTTGAAACCTCAGAGCATGACCCACGTTCAGAATATGCCGATATTTACGTTCCACTCTACCATTCTGTTGTGGTGTGGATACACAAGATGTCTCGTGAACTATACCCTTTTCTTGGAAGTATTCATTTAAGCACTCAAATTCTGTACCATTATCACTACGAACACATTTTATTTTCTTCTCAAACTGGCGTTCAATCATGGCACAAAATTGTTTGAAGACACTTTCTACAGTACGCTTAGAATCAAGCAAGTACACCCATACACCACGAGAAAAATCATCCACAATAGTCAAAAACATAGTAGATCCATCCAAACTCGGCATCCGATAGGGACCCCACAAATCACAATGTATCATATCAAATTTATCCATAGATCGATTAAAACTAATGGGAAAACTGGTACGAGTTTGTTTGGCACGTAAACAGACATCACAATGACTATGACTACTCTTATTCGATCGAACTACATGAACTAAGGATAAAACATGTGAAGAAGGATGTCCTAGAAGTTTGTGCCAAAGATCAAAAGAATTCTCCTTCGTAGCACTGCACGCCATTATCCCTTCCTCCTTCTTTAAATAATATAGTCCTCCTTCTTGTCTACTCACACCAATCGTTGTCCTCAACCTTAGGTCATGTAAGATACACAAATCATTGGTGAACTTCGCCTCACAATTCATATCCTTTGTCAGCTGTGACACAAAAATCAAATGACAGTTCAAACTTGGAACAAACAACACATTCTGCAAAGTCATAGTCATTGTTAAGTCAATCTTTCCAGATTGAAGAGATACAACCCGTTTTCCATCAGGCAAACCAATTTCACATGGGGACACTCTCACCACATCATGTAACAAAGATAGATCACCTATCATATGGTTGGACGCACCAGTATTAATTATCCAATGAGGTGATACAGGAATACCTGAAAGTTTTTTAGCATTATTTGTGGAAGAAAGTGAGAGGGCATGACGAACAACATTCCACTGTTCAGACGTTAAATCCTCAAAATTTGGCAGCGGAGACGGTCCTTCTCCCTGGATCGTGTGCACCTCACTCTGACCGCCCGTGACGGTCGACCGTGCAGACCCTACGGTCGACCGTCCGCCGCCTCGTCCAGCTCCACGATCCCTTCCTCCGATGTTTCCTCTTCCTCTTCCGGCCTGATCTCGGAAGATCCACCCCTCTGGGTATCCGATGAGTTTGTAGCATACATCAACCTCATGTCCTCCTTTGCCACAGTGAGAGCACACAAGCTCCTTGGCCTCCATCTTGTTCTTTACGGCAAATACGGACGCACCTGCCTCTTTGCTTTCTCCTTTGTGCATCCCATTCCGTGATGTTTCATCTTGGATAAGAATATTGTATATTCTTGCCACAGGCGGTATAGTTTCTTGAGCAAGCAGGTTCAACCGAAAAGTTCCATATAAAGTATCATTCAGGTCCATCAAAAATTGATGAGAATATTCCCTCTCATGCATCTGCACAAGCTTCTCCTGCAAGTCGCACGTGCAATTCCTACACGTGCAAACTGGGAACCGTTCTAAATCTGCAAGATCATCCCATAGCTTCTTCATCTTCCCATAATATTCCATTACGGAAAGATTCTTCTGTTTGCATTCTCTTAAATCCCGCTTCAACTGCTGAACCCGGGGTCCATTAACGATAGAGAAGCGGGCCTCCAGATCACTCCACAGATCTAAAGCCTTTTCCACAAAAGATATACTAGATCTCAAGGCTGGATCGATCATGTTCCGAATCCAAGAGACCAACAAAGAATGGTTTGTCCACCAATCATCAAAATCATCAAAATCGGGATCAGGCATCCCGATTGTTCCATCAACAAATCCAAACTTCTTGCGAGCTCGGAGAGCCAAACACAGAGATTTGGACCTTTCATCATAATTATCCCCCTTTAGAACAACATGGGTCAGAATCATACCCGGATTGTCGCTCGGGGACAAATCGTACGGGGAGATGCGTCGACGACGCACCCCAACTTCCTCTTCCTCTCGTTCCTCGTTCTTTTTGTTGGAAATAATCTTCATGCTTACTTCCTCGGACATACCAGATGGCAGATCAACAACGGAGCAAAATCACAGCGGCGATTAGAAAGAAGCTGTCGTCGGGACGGTCGATGACCTCGACCGTTCTTCACTAACGGTCGACCGTTCTGGCGTCTGGCAGCAGCGGCGGGCGTTTGACCGATGGACGCGATGCCGGTCGACCAAGAGGAGTGGCCGCGGAAAATTTAGGGTTTAGACTCTGATACCATGAAAGAAATGATTCGGAAAAAATTCTCTCGTATTTCTTGTGTTTACAATTTACAACCAAGGCATGTATATATAAGTTCTCACAAGTCGAGAATCCTAACTAAACAAGGAAAGGGAATCCCTATACAAGTAAACTACTAATACAAGGAAATTATCAAAACTATTATATACGAAAATATATTCCAAATATTCTCTTTCCTTTTACAAATTGTTTTATGGGATGCATTTTTTGTAAATTCAACCCCCATGTATGGTGTGTCGGTGCCAATCGCTGAAAATCAAACAAACAAAAATAATATACCAAAAAAAACAATATCTTTTGTTCTAGTCTGGTGTTACCTTTGATGGGAAACTAGTCCGTCGCTTATTATTGCAGCTCGCCACCACATACCAAAATTCCTATTGCAGATCTATGACGGAAGGTAATTCTGTCGTTGGTCCGACACAGATTTGCGGATTTTCATCAGAAATAACATAGTTGCAGCTCTATCGCAGATGTGAGATGGACCTTTGTTTTCGTCGTAGATTATGGAGTAGCTCCGACTTTGTCGAATCTGCTACGGAATTTGTCCGTTGTAGATCCGGTAGATTCTTGTAGTGATTTAACATAAACGAAGTTAAATAGATCCGGTAGATTCTTGTAGTGATTTGACGGAAAGTTAAACAAAGGACTACTGTGAAAAGGTAACCATATACGAAGAACCATAAACATGATACCATATTTGGTACTCTCTCTGTCCTATAACTGTCTTCTTATTTATTTTTTATTGGGTCAAATTTTATCTACTTTGATATAATTTTTAAATATACAAATTTTATTTTTTAAATTTCACACCAATTCCTCAACAAATTGTAATGAAAGTAACTTCAATCAAGCATCGTAAACCCCATCGAGAAGTTAATTTTATGACAAAAGAGTATTAGAGAATTAAGACATTGTTCTCTACGTTTGATCTGATCCGATCAAATTTTAATAAAATCTGACTTGAATAAAATCTGATCTGATATAGTCTAATCTAACTTGATTTAATGTGATCTAATTCTAATAAGAATAAATAATAATAATTAATAAAAATAATTTTGAAAAACAAAGCTCTAAATATGAAAAAATCATTTTTACTAATTTAAAAAGGTGTTTGGCAGTACGACGCTTTTAAGAATTTAATTTCTACTTTGAGTAATAGTGATTTTACATTGTTTGCCTTGTGAGCTTTTACTTTTTCCATAATTATTTTGTACACAAAATGCCATATTGGAGAAGCTATAATAAGGTATTTTTTGCTTTCAAGTTTTGTAAAATGTTATGGTTTGATGACTCCACCAATAACATTTTCTTCATCAACCATGCTAGGGGTACACCAAAAGTGTACCCCAAAGAAATGCAGATATTTTAACGATTCATACGGACAGAAAATAATAGTTCAATTAAAAAAAATTACACTGACATTTTCTATTAATGTAAATATCGCACTAACATTACAAAATGTCGGTACATATCTTTTAGGTACAGAATCCTTCTATTTACAAGAGCAGCAGGAAAAATATCCCGCCTAAACTTCTGGGCCGGTTACTGTAGCAATGGGTCGCTTTTTTTGCATTTCCTTACTTTATGGGCCTGATCAATTTTTTGATAAAAAAACTGTTTTTTCAATAACAACGCTACTGGAACTTTTAATTTTAGTATACAATTGTAACATCTATTAAATATATTAAACGAGTTTACAATCTCTGATAATTTTATTTAAAATTAATATTTTCCAGAATTAATTTGTTAAAATACTACTGAGCTTTATTTGTGCAAACAATAATTAATCATTGAAAAAAGTTTAAGATTATTTTTTCAATTTTATTATTATTATTATTATTACAAAAAAAGAACACTTATATTAGTGCAACCAATAATTAAATCAGGAGCTTTATACAAAAATAAGGAAAAACAGAAATTTCAACCCACAACCACACGTCACATGATTTTAGGGAGAAACTGCAATTTTTAAATTTAAAAAAAAACAGCCCACTTTGTAGCCACTTCCCCTCTTTTTACGTGTGCAACTTCCCACCTCCCCTGCGCCTTTAGCCTTATAAATGCAAGAGTCCATGCTTTACTCCCACACAATCTCACATTTTCACTTTCCTACAAAAAATCACACAATGCCAAATGAATCAAGCAGAAATGGAGGTCTGTGGTGCAATTTAAAAGATTTGGCCGACAAAAAAAAGAGAGAAGGGAATTTGTGTTAGAGCTGTTCGGATTTACAACCTACTCACCCGTGATGAAAGGCCAAACACATTAGAAGTGATTTTTCATGATTCAAAGGTAAACACTCTAAATATTCTACAATTTACAGTCAAGCAAGGTTTAGAATCCAGGCTAACCACTTTCATTTTCTTTGCAATAGGGAACAAGAATTAATGCGCAGATTAAGAGGCCTGAAATGAAGAAATTCATACCCAAAATCAAGGAAGGTGGGGGGGGGGGAGGTTCTGCATTGAAGAATTTCATAATGATGAGTAACTATCACGGTTACAAGACCACAAACCACCCTTTTATCCTGACTTTCTATGAAGACACAATGTGGAAAGAATTAAGTGCATATCGATTTCCCAAATACATGTTTAACTTCTGTCCTTTTGAGAAGTTATTGGGACCCTTGAGCCAGAATCTGCTAACTGGTAAGGATGCACATTCAAAGCCGTGGTAGGAAAAGTAATTGCAAGGACTGGAATTCAAAGCCGGATTCAAATCACATTCAGATAAAAGAATTATTTTTGGACATTAAATACTCACAACTTATGTCATGTATGGCTTCGAAGGATTGGATTCAAAGCAGACATAGCTAGGAATCTCTGACTTCTGGACCATTACTTCCTTTAAGCATTGATAGATATAGTATTCGTAAATGCAGGTGCTCAAAATTTAAAATATTTTGTTGCGTGTTTGAAAAATTTTGTAGATCTCGGACCGAGATTCAAATATAATAAAAAAAATTCAAAACCCTTTGGTCTGCACTAGATTAAATACTTCACCCGAAAAACAGCTCATTTGACTTTTATTAAATACAAGGACTTATTATATGCATGTGCTCAAAATTAAAAATATTTTGTTGCATATACGAATTTTTTTTTGTAGATCTCAGACTGAAATTCAAATTTAACAAACAATATTCAAAACCCTTTAGATCTACACTAGATTGAATACAGCACCCAAAAAACAGATCATTTGAGTCAGATTAAAAAGAAGTATTAATTATATGCATGTGTTCAAAAATGAAATCAAATTCTTGCATGTTAGATGAATGGTAAATCGAGGTTCAGATATTAAAAAAGGAAAAAAATTTTATAAACCCATCGGCCAAGAGAATATATCTTAGATCAACAAAAAACACCAAAGAAAAGTAGTACTCTCGAGCCATCGTCATGAGAGAAAAATTATTCTGTTAGATCTTGAATAAAAATCGAAGTCTTGGGACTCGACGCAAAAAAAACACCGAAAACGCACATAAACCCATCGGAATGTACATAAAGCTCATATAAACCCATAGTAGATTTATTACCCAAGAAGTTTCATTAGTAAACACCTTGATAATAGATCCCAGACTTCATCTTCGTATTGAATCGGTCTATGTAAAACACTAAAAACATGGAGAAAAATTAGGAAAATTCATCAAGAATCAAATCAAAACATAGAGAGAGTGATTAATCCAAAAAAAATCAATGTCTCAAAACCGAGGCTTCAGTTTCTCATCGACACGATGAACACGAAACAAAAAAATCAGAAACTACATAGAGAGACTGATTAATCCAAAAAAAATATGTCTCGAAACCGAGGCTTGAATTTCTCATTGACACAATGAACACGAAACAAAAAAATTAGAAGTAGACATGAAGAAGATAAATTTGAATGTGTTAGAGATAGGAGAGAGAGAGAGTGTTGAGTGTTACTTCAAAGTCCCACATCGGTGGGATAGGAAAATTGAGGAGGGATTGGAGCCTATAAATAAAGAGGAGATATAGGCTTCCATCACACAACACAATCCTTCAATCTATATAATTGTGTATTAGATTTTAGGTTGTGGGTGTCAAATATTGGATAGGGTTTGTAATTTTTCCGTGCAAAAATTACTAGTGAGATTTTATCCCAGAGGGGGTCGTGGAGTAGGTCTTGAGGTGCCGAACCACGTTAAAAATTTGTGTGCTCTCTTTTCTTTTCTTTCCATTTATTTGCAGTGGGGGCCTAACAAGTGGTATCAGAGCCAAGGTGCAGAGCTCGGGTGATCTGGTAATTATAATTCTCAGTATGCTCTGTGGTTGCAGCTTTGACTGATCTTCCACATTAGAAAAGAATTATTAATTACAGAGTTGCAGTCTAGGGAGGAAGGAGATAGAGCAAGGAGCAAGAGGAGGGCGTGCCACTTCAGTGGAGGAGGTGGTGGTCCAGTCAGCAGAGGTGGGTCCGTGAGTGCCACGTCAGCAGTCTGTGGGTCCGAGTGCCAGGTCATCATCCAGTCAGCGCCACATCAGTAGGTCCAGTCATCGTGTGGGTCCCGCTGGTGACTTTCGGAGAGAAGTTGCTTCTGACTAATTTTGACGTCCTGATTCCATTTTTGAGGCTAGTTTCCTCAAATTTGGATTGTTTGGCATTGGTTGATTGCTGCTTGAAGTTCCGTTATTTGATGGAAGAGCGGACTTCATGTTGTGGCAATGCACGATTCAAGACTATTTGGTCCAGCAAGGTCTTGATTTAGCATTGCAAGATGAGAAGCCAAGTGATATAAAAGAATCAGAGTGGAGTACAATCCAGAAGAAGGCTGTCAGCACAATTCGGTTGGCACTGTCCCCACAGATAAAAGTGACAGTGCTGAAAGAGACATCACCAAAGAAGTTGTGGGAAACGTTGGAGAGCAAGTTTGCGTCGAAGACACTTACTAACCGGTTGATGATGAGGATGGACTTGTACTCACTGAAGATGGAAGAGGGAGGTAGCGTAATTGATCACATCAACAAGTTTAATGAGCATGTATCAAGGCTGTTAAATGCAGGGGAGACTATCAAGGATGAAGAGCAAGGGCTGCTTCTACTGGCTTCACTACAAAAATCCTTTAAGTCATTTGTACAGTCAATGATAGCAGGAAGGACTACACTGCGACTAGATGAGGTGACGACTGCCTTGAAGGAGAGTCAAAGGATGATGGGAGGTGAAGAGTCTTCCGGGGACAGTCATTTACTAGCTGCTGTGAGTGTTGAGAAAGAGAGGAAGAAGAAGAGTGACCAACTTTGGAGAAGATCTCAGCTGAGAGACATGAGCACTGTTAGGTGCTATTACTGTGAAAAGTTGGGTCACACGAAGAACGGTTGTCCAGAACTCAAGGAGGACTTGCAGATCCTAAAGGAGAAGAAGGGCAAATCGAAGGAAGCTTCTTCCGCAAATGTGATCACTTATGAAGATGATCTCTT